GCTTTTAGTGTATTTGCTAATATCGAAAAATATCCCAACATAACATTTTCTGAGTAAATACGAATATGCTTTTCTTCGGCCCATCGCTTGAAATGTAAATATTGTTTTTCGTATTTATCTTTAGATTTTTGGGGCAATAAAGATTGTACCGTTACATTAACTTGTTCCAAAATATCCGGTGGTGTATTATTTATATCTTCAAAATCGCTTGAATCACTCATTTTTAAAATATTCTTAATATTTTACAGATATACCTATTATGTATGGTGAATCACACTTTGAAACTGTCAAACGACCATAGCATGCTATAAAATTTGTCATAAATTCGAAAACCGGATGGATCTATGAATCTAACAAATTATCAATGAAAAAATCGTTAAATTAAAATACCTACTAATTTATACCATATTGCAAAATACAGGTTGTTCTATAAATAAACGGTAAACTTTATATTTATATAATAGAATATAGTTTAGGTTGTCAATGCCGTATAAATTATTTCATTGATTATGTACCATGACGTCACTTTTACTTTTCCTCCCTAGTGAGGAAAAGTACGACTTTGCTCCCTACAATGAGGCCAGGAAATGTATACTTTGGATAGAGGTAGGCGGAAAAATTATTTGTCAGCAACCAATCGACTATATAGTCAGATTTTTTAATTTCGTCCAACTTATCCATAATAAATGGAAAAAAAAGAGAAGTGAAAACCGGAAAACACCTTGAAATTGAAAGAAAAAACTTTAAAAACACATTAAAAATATTACCAAAAAGCACTACCATAATACAATACTGCCTGTTTTATACACTAATAACAAATATTATCAAGAAACACTAAAACGATTTACCAAAATATTTTTCAGTCCCGGTCCGTCACGGCATTCCGTCCTAATAATTAAATAAAAAACAAACGCAGTCGTACACTAACGGAGACCAACTGGAGGCTAGCCTCCTCTAACGCTATAATTTCTGCAACTAAAATTACAAATCGGGACGTATGTCGCTGGTTGAATCAGTCTCGCAGAGCTTGTGTTTTTTATAGCGGTCAGAGGCTTGGCTCCCTTGCAACGTATAGCATTTATTATTTCGGGTTGGTTTATTCGTTATACGTCCATGGGCGGTTTGTTTGAGGTTTGTTGATGCAGGATACAGTGTGGTACGTACTACGTAGTGAGTGTTAGTGTTTTTTCAGGCATATTATGTGTTTATATTAAAAATTAATGGTAAGGTAATGATTCCCAAGCATTAAAAAAAAATCATAATTATTTGTCAATATCTTTCAATTTATTGCGATGAATAGCCTCAAATTTTATGGGGAGGCTTGACCTCCCTTGCCTCCTCTGACGAGCCGCCGCGCATGCCATCTAGTATAGAGTCGAACAGTTCCTTTCTGCCAATTTTGTTAGTTCTTCACAGTACTTCCAAACCAGAATCAATGTAACGTTCGGGTTCGTCACAAGTGTAGCCTGGCTGTCATTTTGTTGGGACCTCAAATTAATGTTCTTTGTATATGGCAAGATTGTGTAAACTTCAGCTCGTAGGGCTGACGTCTATTGACATAGTGGTTAACTGATAATCCAAGAATTATTGTATTCTCTATACATTTTGTAAGTGAATTTTTTAATCTGTTGTTATAAAGCCATAAAATGAAAGTTATCAGTATATATTGTAATAATGGAAATCATAAGTTGGAAAAATTAATAAAAATAATAATGAACAAATTGTTTCAGGTCAATACTTGTGCTTACATGAACAAAAAAATAGAGTTTTGTGGAGGGGCCGTGAGATGCCAAGTTTACGAAATGTGGGCCCAAGGCGATAGAGTAGCCTGTGGTGTAATCACCGATGACACCAAAGTAGTCTTTCGTTCGTCTACCTCAATGGTTTACCTATTTCTGCAGATGTCCTCAGAAATGTGGGACTTTGACATTTATGGTGACTTGTATTTCGAGAAGGCTGTCAATGGCTTTTTGGCAGATTTATTCATGAAATGGAAGAAGAACGGTAGCAATCATGAAGTGACTATTGTTCTCTTCTCCAGAACTTTTTACGAAGCTACCAACTTGGAAGAATTTCCTTTACACATGAGAGAGTGTTTGCAGAAAGATTACAAGGGAAGGTACTATGAAGATTTCTACAGGTGAGAACTGGCGGGGGTAAATGATTATTGGAAAAAACAAGTCTTTATTGAAACAGGTACGAAACCCATTTACAGGACACCTCATACAGCAATCGGTGAACAATACTAATATTGATGGGAAAATTGTTTTCCTAAAAGGAAAATAAAGATTAAAAAAAATAAATAAATCGTGGATTCAACAAATATCGNTAATAAAATCAAAGAAAACTGGGCCGTAGTGAATAGTCTAAGAAATAAATCAAATTTAATTCCAGAACACGTCAATATAGATCCGGAAACACTCAATAATTTTTACTGCACAATTGCTCAAAAACTAACTTCATCCCTTGTTCCTACTTCAAATTCTATGGATTATTTAAATAATGTAAATATGCCCAACAACTTTCATTTTGAAATACTATACTTTAAATTATATTTTATACTGAGTTATATCTTATTTTTTTGCCGTGACATGTGAACTTATGTTCATATTGTGTATATTTGTTGGTTACATAAACACTATTTTGTCTACAAACATTTAAATTTTATTTTCTATTGTTATATTTTATCTATTAGATATGTGAACTTAGTTTTGCTCAAATTGTGTTTCTAGGTATTGGTGTTTTTGAATTGTTTCTTTTCTTTTATTCTTTGAAGTGCTATACTCGTATATACCAGATTTTTCAACAAGCTTTGTCAATAAGATTGTATTTTCTTGGATAATAAAGTATATGTCTATCTATCTATCTATAAAATAATTTGATATGTAGATATGTATTAGAGAAAATATACTTTATTTGTTTCCTAAACAGTCTAATGGGTGAAAATATTTGTATTTTATCACACATTCGATTGAATTTATTGCATAATTAATTGGAGATTTGCTTGAAATACTTGCTCTTGCTTTAGGTGCATATAAGCGTAGTACATTTCTAGTCTTCTAACTTGGTACATAAAAACACAATTAGGATAATAACTCTAGACAATCGATGAGGTGGTTTATGAGTTTGTATATAAATACACATGAATAGTAGGTTCTACGGTTTTCTAACGGTAAGAGTCAAAATATATTCAACCTTGACCTTCCACGAACTAATTTGATTAGTATAGTATAAAGGTTTGAATGAGTATAATAAACTCCCACCTTTGTAGGAGTTATACTGATAGCTACTTCTTTGCATAAAGTTTGCATTTTTTGTATCAAGATGGCGAAGTAGATGGTCAAAAACTTTCTTTCCCATTCAATAAATGTTTTCAAAAAAACCTCATCGACTATATAAAATCTCACCCCTGTATTTTTTCATCTGTTCTGTAATATATTTGTTATGTATATCTAATGTTTATTAAACCATCTTGAAATCATTGCAAAATTATTTTTATTATTGTTTTTTCTAATATTATTTCATCATTTTTGTTATTACTTTGTTATCAATTACTTGTACACACTAATAATTATGTGAAATGGATATTTCATAATAATATATGTATATTAGGATGTCCTAAAGAAATCAATAAATATTATTA